TATATATATATATATATATATGTATATATATACATATATAGCGAAGTCGGATGAAGTACCGGAAGAGCAAGCCAAGGTGGGGAGACGATGAAGATCGGTATGCCCAACCAGCGGAGGAGACTCGAATCGAAGGTGGTCGTGTTTGTGCTCTCCTGCATGCGGGCCACGCGTTTCGAAGCCGACCAACCGTTTGTTCGCTTCTGTCTGTGTGCGTGCAGAAACGTCCGTGACCCAGAGAACATCAGAGAAATTCCCGCTCCCGGCGGTTTTCGGCAAACGTTGTTTGCCCTCTGCGGTGACCGGTGGTCGAGTTTTTTTTTCTTTTCTTTTTTTTTTTTTTTTTGAGAGCTTCTGCAGACAGCAGGAAGAGGAATAATCTTCTCTGTGGCAGTGGCTGAAATTGTGAACTGGGTGAAATCGAATTTTTGATGGTTGCAACATTGTCCTTGAGCTTCCATCACCAATCTGTAACGGTTGAATTGGAAATCCTGTGATAAATCACGAAGAATTGAATTTCGAGAGAATAGGAGCTTATTCCATTTAAATTTCCTTTGCCATCAAATTGAATTTAAGGAGCACGTGAAATTAAGTCTTTGAGCTTTCAGCGAAATTTAGTTGGAAATCTTATGGGACTTTGAGAGAATAAGAGTTTATCACATTCAATTTTCTCGGAATTTCCCTTGAATTTAGAAAATTGAAGAATAACCTTGTGTGATAGTGGCTAGGTGAAATCGAATTTTTGATGGTTGCAACATTGTCCTTGAGCTTTCATCACCAATCTGTAATGGTTGAATTGGAAATCTTGTGATAAATCACGGAGAATTGAATTTCGAGAGAATAGGAGCTTATTCCATTCAAATTTCATTGCCTTGGAATTTCCTTTGCCATCGAATTGAATTTAAGGAGCACGTGAAATTAGGTCTTTGAGCTTTCAGCGTAAGTGAAATTTAGTTTGAAATCTTATAGGATTTTGAGAGAATAAAAGTTTATCACATTCAATTTTCTCGGAATTTCCTTTGAATTTAGAAAATTGAAGAATAACCTTGTGTGATAGTGGCTAGGTGAAATCGAATTTTTGCAGGTTGCAACATTTGCATACTATTGTCTTTGAGCTTTCATTACAATCGGGTTGAATTGGAAACCTTGTGACAAATTATAGAGAATTGAATTTTAAGAGAATAGAAGCTACATTCATTATTACATTGTCTTGGAATTTATTTTGCCGTAGAATTGAATTCAGGAAAAAGTGATAGAGACTAAAATTGTGAATTGAATGAAATCGAATTTCTAGAGTTATAAGTTAATTATTCGTATTGTCTTTGAACTTTCATCGTTTTGGGTTGAATGGTGATAAAATTGGAATTGAATTAGAAATCTTGTGATAAATTATATGAAATTATATAAATATTGAGAGAATAAAAATTTGTTGCGTTCAATCTTCATTGTCTTAGAATTTTTTGATCACGATGAATTAGAATTAATCAATCAAATTTCTGTTATCTTTGAGTTTCCGTCACTACCGACTTTCATTGGAAAATAATGATTAAAATGATGAATTGCTTGCGGAAGGAATTGAATTTCCGGGAGTTTGGAATTTATTAAACAAAATTTCCATCGTCTTCCAATTGTCAGTCGTAGTTTGAACATTGCGTTGAAATACGCATACGAGAAATTGGCGTGTGTTCAAACCAATTATCGAGTGGTGTGTGCAACCGATGGAATTTCTAGAAATTGATGCTCAACATATTTGAAATCGACGGTGAAAGGTTACTCAGCGAAGTGAAAATTAATCCCCAGTTGATGCGTTGATATTTCAAATAATAAAAATATGATAAACATCGAACTTTCTTTTTTTTTTTTTTTTAGTGAAATGATTCGAATCAAGAGTGTTTAGTCGGCGAGGATCATGAAGAGAGATATGAAAACAATTGTTATCAAGAAATTCCGATATCAAGAACTTTCAAGGAGAATTCAATTCGCCTGTTTGTTTAACCTACTTCTTCGATATCGGCGGCAACAATGAGCGAAAGAATAGAGATGTAAAAAGACGTGCGCATGTATTCTAATTGAATGTGAAAAGGCGTTTCGATGGCTAGCGCTGATTTCCCACGGAGAATAATAAACGTTGTAAATCTCTTAATTCACTGTGACTTTTCATTTTCTACGAGCGTGGTCCAATTCCACGATCAGAAAGTCACCTCACTTCTTTTCATCCTTTCCTTCCTAGGGACATTCAAACCTTTTCCCCCGCACTGTATAAATAGAACTAGAACACGTGAATTAATTTCCATTAAACTCGAATTCAGTTCTTTCGAATTCAGTTTCATAGTGTAATCTATGGAATTACGAGAGGTGTTTATGAGTTTAAAAAAAATATGAGTTTAGTAAGAAATTCACCTGGGATATACTTGGCAATACTGAATTCTCGAGCTTCCATTCAGCCCGTGAAATCCACCCCTTGTGAAAATGGGAATTAAATGGCAAGAAAGTTAAAAAGTAAAAGTCACAACTTTCTGGCGGAAGTTATGTTTGATAAGAGCAGACGTAATTAAATACCCCTTCCCTCCCCCAGAACGAGTGGCAATTTTCATTTTTAAATAAATATAAATAAATCTTATTTTTATTGTGTATTACGAAATTGCGGACGAGTGAAATAGAAAGCAAAATTGTCTATCGATGGAAAAAGATAATGGATACAACGTTGCTGAGTTTCGAAAGAGAATTCGAATCTTTTTCTTTCGCTTTTCTCTTTAGAACGTCTCTCTCTCTCTCTCATATTCTCTTTCTCCTGTGAGATATCGAAACAGGTATTTCAATGTTTCACGGGAGGTATCATCTATAGTCGGTGCAGAGTCTGATGAAAAAGTAAACGTTTTTTCCGTTTCACTTTACCCTCGCCACAATGCGAACGTCATCAAGGCGACGATGCTCGATGTCATCCTCTTTCATGAATCTACTTTCCTCGAAGGTCACTGCATAAATTGGCGGGCAGAATTTTTTTTTTGCGTTCAGTCGAGCTTTCGCCAGTTTCCACTACAAAATGAATCGAGGAGAACGCGACTCACAATCGAATTTGTCGTTCACAGTACTATAATAACTTACTTGAGCGTATGCATAAACGAACTGAATTATTTGTACTGTATGAATCATGCGATGCTTGCCAGTATGATTATCGACTTTTCCTTTCAAACTTCAGTTGCTACACGTACATGTAAATTTCAATAGTGAGATGATTTGAATTTTAATCTCGAAATTTCTTGGATTCTGTGCAGATTTGCTTACGTGTCCATGATTGATGACATTTGAAATTTTTCCCTTTCATTTCTAAGATTGATCAAATTTAATAATAGGTAACTGGATTATTATTCAATATTATCGAATAGCCTTTGAAAAATCTTGATCAAGCTTTCATCTCTAATTTCTGAATGTATTCTTCGATATTTACATAGTGAATCTTAATTTTTTTTTATCTAGTTTTTTAAATTAATTTAATTTATGTTAATTTTAGTTTCAGTTGAATTTAAATTTTTTAATTTATACCTATGTCAATAAGACGAAAGCAATAACCTCCTTTTCGACTTTAATAAATTCAACTCTTAAAAGAAGATAGATAAAAATTCATCGTCTTTAAAGCCGGCATGTAAAAATTTAAATTTATCGACGAATTTCAATATAAACAGTGTGTTCCATTTTGACGTATTTATTATTCATGGGTGCGCTCGGTCAGTGAGAAATTTACTCGCTTCTTAATGGGAGAATTTTGCAAAAACCAAAAAAAAGACAGAGACATGGCAGAGATAGCAAACTGTGAGAAAATTCCGTTTTTTTTTCTTTTTTTTTTTTTTTTTTGCGAGATTCGCAGATGTTCTGAATGATCAGTTTGATCACGGGATAGTTGAGTGTAATTTTACGAGGAGAAAGTCGACGTTAAAATGAAATATATTTTAAGAGTCTTTTCTTTGCAATTTTTATTAGAATTTTAAAGTGTCGTGTTAGAAAATACGATGTCTAGCGTTAGTTAGGAAAGGAAACGTTGCATAAGTTTAAATGTTAGATGCAATTATCCCGAGTAATCGCTCTAATTAGAGATCTGACAGGCAAATAATTCGACTGAACTACGAAAATCAGTTTGATCTCGTTAAAAAATCGCTTCATCACTCTGGCTATCACTTTCGTCATCTCTAAGTTCATTCGATGCTGCAACCTACAAAACCTCTTTAATCGAATTGATCGACTACTTTGTGTAACATGTGGACACGTGTTCGCAAATCGATTTGCTGGAAACAGTGATACAATTTGCGAAAGCGAATTTTAAACGAGATCATCAAATTGTACTACGTAACGATGTAACATCACAATTCGAAATACGACTGTTTCGATCATTTCTTTAGCAACGGTATTAGCCGTGAAGACGAAAAAGATTTTATCAACAACTGAAAATTAACTTAAAGAATGAAATGAAAATTCAGTTTAGTTTCTCTGTTCTCGAAGAATTAAGTAAAATTAAACTGAACGAAGAATTTCTCCTCTTAAAGTTCTGCCAAAGTCATCTCTCGATCTAAAATTAGAAATAAAATTAGAATTACTAATTAATTGTATTATGTTAATTAGTAATATCAATGTTATATAATATTGTTAATATTATGTATTATTTGTATTATAAAATACATAATTAATTGTATTATAGAATACTAATTAATTGTATCATGTTAATTATTAATATCAATATTATAGTAATATCAATATAATATTATTAATATTATGTATTATTGTACAATAATATTGTATTATAAAATACATAATACTAATTAATTGTATTATGTTAATTAGTAATATCAATGTTATATAATATTATTAATATTATGTATTATTTTATAATGTTGTATCATAAAATACATAATTAATTGTATTATGTTAATTAGTAATATCAATATTATATAATATTATTAATATTATGTATTATTTTACAATGTTGATATTGCTGACATTAATATATAATAAATAAATTAGTATTAATCAACTAATTAATATCGCTACGAAAATAGAATGACTTTGTGCTTTCTGTGATCATCGATTGAAACGTTCAACAATCGCATAAATGCCGGCCAAAGTAGAAACAAACCAGTCCGTTGGTTTCGATCGAAAGACGACAATGTTGTAACTTAATTACGCACAATCATCGACAAATTAGAAATCTCGCCATTGACATTCCCGATGGGGATTGATCGATTCAAAAAGGAGACTACGCGTACGATCGTAAAACCGATTCCTCTCGTGGGAAAGAAAGTGATCTTCGAACGATGCCTCAGCTCTTCGCCAGCAGTTCAAAGACTCTGGCAGCTTGGATTTCACCTGGCAGCAGAATTTCGCTTCGTTTCGATCGAACGATCGAACGATCAAGCTCGATCGTTGCAAATTGCAAACTGGTTTTTACGGCGACAGATGGCAAGGAAACGTGAATGCTCTCCTTTTCTTTTTCCTTTCATCTCTCTTCCTTTCACGAGAACGACGGTTTCGAATAATCTTTGAAAAATGATCGAGCTATATTGTGCAACTACGATAATATTCTTCGCAGGAAATTACTGCGCAGCGTAACAAAGATGTTGAAGTTTCTTGATCTGATTAAATCATTCAGTTTTTTCTTTGATCAGTCAAACTTGTACTAAATCATTCTATATATAATGAGATTATTTATAATCGTTCTTCTCGCAAGAATGGTTTTGCATAATTCTGAAAAGTGATCAAATACAATTGA